GGCAGGGGCGGGGTGGGGGCGGGGCGGGGCAGCCCGGAGAATGTATGGGTTTTCAATAAACATGCCCCGGGCCCGGGCTGGCAACGGCAGCGCGCGGCTGACGGCCTCCGCTTTAATGATGATCCTCTTCTCTCTTCCTGTCGCAGAAATGCCTGACGACCCTGGACCTGACCTCGCTGGGCGTGGGGTCGTGCGTGGGCACCGGCATGTACCTGGTGGCCGGCATGGTGGCGCGCAAGATCGCAGGGCCAGGCGTCGTCATCAGCTTCATCATCGCCGCGGTCGCCTCCATCTTCTCGGGTGAGTGACTTATTTATTATTTTACATGTCAGACGCACTGTAAACAAGTGTGTACACATTACACCTTTCCTTGTGTGTACTTGACATGGCACACTCTAGGAAGTGTGTACTTAGCGCTACGCTACGTGGCGCTCACACTAAGAAGTGTGTGCCAGTGTGTGCCATGCTATACACACACTTCCTTTGTGTGTGCTTCCAAGTACACACAAGGAAGAGTGTACTATGTACACACTTGGGTTTCCAGTGCGTCCGCGACCTTACAGGGGGTAGCCGTTTGGATTCTTGTAGAGTAAATTGGTCTCGACGCGGTAACTCACTCTTCCGGGTTACTGTGCAATCGAGTATTCCAATCGAAGAAACCGTTCTTTTCCTCCTCGCTTTCGAATCGCACCTGCTCGCATTTCCGGGTCTTCTTTCCAGTTTTCCCCGTGCCCGCACGGCGCAATAGTTGTTAGAGCAGTGTACACGCCGGTTTGTCGCCCAAAGGCCCGCGGGCCTCGTTCTCAGCAATAATAGCATTTAAAAATATTTTGTGAGCTTGCAATACATCATTTGCCCGTATAGGGCCATTTTTCCTCTTAGCGAGGCGAGTATAATTTCGCACTCCGCACAAAGAGGGAGACGCCATAGGAGGGTGCCCGTCGGTAGGTCAAGTGAGCCGGCAACTCCCCTTGCCTGGTGTGCCCCCCGCCCCCTCCCCTTCCAACAAAGGCCCGGGCCCGCCTACTCGCAGCGAGGCCCGGCAGCGTTACGCCACGACCAGCCAGCCGGAAATCGAATCATCCGGAATCACCCGGAATCACCCGGGGACCCGCCTCGGCCTCGGCTCCGCTCCGGGTTATTATTTGTGGAGGGTCCGGCCCGCTGGGAGCGAGCGGAGCCGCGCAAGCCGCGCCGCCGCCCGGCCCCAAGAACCCCCTTCAGTGTAATGAGAAAATAAGGCCCTCGACAGTTGTTTGGAGGACTTGGCGCCGCCGATCCGCAGCCGCAGCCGCCCCCGCCTTTGCCTTTGGTCTCTGAGCTGATATCCACCACCGCCGCACTTCAAGACGACATTCGGCCCTGCGGCGGGGGCGGCCGCGCACAAGCCCACTCGAACTGCGAGCGACGAACTGGGCGATGACACGAGAAATGAAAAAAGTTGTGGGGGTCGTCGCCGTTCGTTCGTGTCGGGCGGGGCTGGTATGGTGTTCGTCGTCGAGGAGGTGCTGGGGCTCCGCGCCGCGCCGCGCCCCGCCCCGCCTATTGAGGGTATGTGCACGACGAACGATCGACGCGCCGTTCCATAAATTCAAATGGAGGGTCGGAGCGCGGCGGCCCGTGTGATGGGGCCTGTGGCACGGCCAGGGCTGCGATGCGATACCCCACCCCGGCGCCCGGCGCGGGGGGAAAGAAATTTGACGAAATTGATGAAATGCACCAGAGTATTCCGCTGCCGCTGCCGTTCAAATAACATGCTTTCTACTACGTTGCTCCCGCCGGCTCCCATGGCAATTTTCGTGGTTGACAAAAACAGTTATTTTGTAATTGAATGGGGTACAATAAGTTGTACCATTTTATAGACTAATTTGCATTTGATTGAGATGTGCATCTGCTTTGCTGGACAACAAATTTAATGTTCTTTTCCATTAAGAGTGTAAATGCCCATCAAACTGCTGGCGAGTATTTATGGAGGGATCCAGGATTCCAGGATTCAATGTCCAATGTCGTGTTTCAGGCGACCAACTACTACCCGTCGGAGCTGCTTCAAAGAGTCAGTTCGCTCCCACTCATGCGACAGGAAACCAGCCGACGCCGACGTGCGTTAGAAAGGGCCCTGCTGTCACAACTCTGAAAGAGATAGTCCAAACCCTACCGAGCTCCCCGCAACCAACTCTGAAAGCAGTTTTCGCCCGCATTCGAACCCGCAGCCCGGGACCAAAACTTAGCCACATCTCGATCTATAGTATGCACACAGAATGTCGACCACTACTGCTGTCGGTGGAGTGAGTTCGGATGCATCTATACACGATGCTGGTCCACTCACCCTGTACTTCCCAACTTTATAATGTTTGTTTTCAGTTCTCTGGAAGAAGACAAAGTACATGGGGCGAGGCAAAGCCGGATGAGGCTAAAAAAGAAGAACTCGACCAAGCCCGTGACACTGAAGAGAAAAGCAAAATAGCGAAAAACGCGCGCACACATGACGTGTCGTTTTTTATTCCGTGCACGTATTAACAAAAAGAATCCTCCAAAAAATCCTTTTGTATCGAGCGAGAGTCGAACTCTGCGCGGGGTATGATGACGTGGCGTGAATAGCATGGGGACTAATGCTTTGTGCCAATCTTTATCTGTATTTCTCTCTCGCTGTCTCGCAGGCGCGTGCTACGCCGAGTTCGGCGTGCGGGTGCCGCACACGACGGGCAGCGCCTACATGTACTCGTACGTGACGGTGGGCGAGCTGATCGCGTTCGTCATCGGCTGGAACATGGTGCTGGAGTACCTGATCGGCACGGCGGCCTGCGCCTGCGCCCTTTCCGCCTGCCTGGACTCGCTCGCCAACGACGCCATCTCGGGCGCGCTGCGCAACGCGCTGGGCAACGTCATCGGCACGGGTAAGTGGGGAACGCGCCGGGGTCAAGTGTAAGTAGGGATCCTGCGCTAACCTGGTCTAACCTGCACCAACCTTGGTACCCAAATATCCAGGGGCGTCGACACCGGGGGGGGGG